TGAATTATGTTGTTTTTTACTTTTCTTCATAGCTACTAATAAGTAAAGTTTTGTAAAATTGTTCTTAGCAAAGGATGGGGTTGAAGTGACTGCATTTAGAGCCTGTAAAATTCTTTGGCAGTTGGTCCTGACTTTGACCGACAGTTTTTTCATCTCCGACACTAAGAGTTAGCCTTCTTCCCACTTAACTGATTGTTAATTGACTAAAGAACTAACTAGCCCATGATCTTGAAATTAAATTATAATAAATCGAACAGGTTGACGGTGTCATGATAACACCCAGATTTTCCTGAGAAAAATGTCTAACTCTTTCTATTAACTGAGTAACTAAATATGTCTGGAGGCGCCACTTCATTTTTGTTGAATTGACTTTTCTACAATCACTTTAAATTCACCTGCAGACAAAAAATAGAACTTGTAATCAGTGAGTTTTACACAAAATTTGTTACGAAGATTTTTCAATCATCATCTTAAATTGCTAGAATTATACCAACAATATGGCACACGTAGTTTTTGTTCATAAATAGACTTTATTTTGAGCCAAATGTCAATATCGCATACATTGGTCATGCTATTAATGTCTCAGGCCTCGTCGTCATTGCGAAACTCAAGATTTCATGTTTACCATTGTTTGGTATTTAAATCATCCGATCAGCTGATTATTTACGTGCAACCTTTCACGATTGTCTTATGTGATTATGTCTGTGTTTGTATATGTTATTGTACAAAATTAGGTAAACCCACGAGTCTATCGTTTGTAGAATTTTAGTAAGGATTTAGGTACTTTTTAATCTTTATGATGATTCACAGTAAATAATTACTGTGTTTGCTAGGAACTAGTTACCCATGAAGATACTAAATTAGCAGCCATATAAAATCATTGTGTTCAGTTGTTTCTTCAAAAGCAGGAAAGAAAAAAAATTACTTGGATCCGTCATCGTAAATGGAAACATGAATAAAATTGGACAGGTTTCAGGATATGGAAAGTTTTGGATCGGCACAGTTATTAAATTTGTAAAGAAAACTTGTCGATAAAAGTGTTACTGTGTCTAGAAGAGGAATACTCCTTATTCAGACTGTTCTCATACGAAATTATTCCAAACTTTCATATCTGATTAAGGTTTCGCTTAGATTTTTATATCAGAAATCGATTTAGTTTCAAAATACTCAGTTTTAAATAAATTAAATATCTCATAACCTATATATAATGAGTACCAGTACTCCGATGTGTCTAAATTGCTTTACCGAAGCAATAACGTACACATTTTAATTATTCTAATCGACTTTAACTATTGATGAACCGTTACCTTTAAACTGTTGAAAGTTAACTTTAAATGGAGACTCAAGCAATAGTAAAATAGTACTGTTTTATGGTCTGTTTTGATGGCGGTAACTTACCATCCAATGGTTGCCTGGAAGAGATCGCAAAACGCGATAATATCGCCTATTATTAAAAGGGTTTTGTTTTAGAGTATTAAGAATTCTACCTGTGCAAATAAATTGTACTCGTACTTGTTTTATCATATATTTTATTTATTAATTTCTGTTGTATGCTCGTATGTTCTTTATGTTTATGGTGAGAACTGAAAACTGAAAACGGAAACAGACTTAAGTAAATTCTTTGCACTATTGTCTTCTTTTAATTTATTTATTAAGTTATTAAAATCATAGCTTTCGGACATATGGAATTCCAAATTCTATATTAAAAAGCAACAAAGATATTCTGTTGAATTACATAATTGTTCAAAATTATTGTCTTCGCCCTGAGCTGTCAAAGGATAAAATGGCTCTCTCACTGATAACTACTTATTGACACTATGGTAGTCATAAGCAATTGAAATCCTAAGAGTACACCATTTTTTGATAGAGTGGATTTGTAGCATCATAGGACTTTGACGTCCCGTGTCATGGCGCAATAGCAACTTTGTATGAGTTGAATGGGATTTAAATTAAACAATTGCGACTTCTCCTTAAGAGCCCCGTTTTCTGAATGCTGTGTACCACATTTTCTTTGCTGTATTTCTGGCAACGTGTAGCTATGCAATACTTTATAATGATCCCATAATCGTTATCCGATCATCATAATCATCTCAGCCGAAAGACGTCCACTGCTCGACATAAGCCTCCTCTAAGACTCTCTACAACAACCGGTCCTGTGCTGCCCGTATCCATCGGCTTCCTTCGACCTTCACCAGGTCGTCGGACCTTGTAGGGGGCCTACCCACGCTCCGTCTTCCGGTACGTAGTCGCCACTCCAGAGCATATTAGCCCCATCGACCGTTTTCTCTGCGAGCAATGTGCTCCGCCCACTGCCACTTAAGTTTGGTAATTCTCCGGGCAATGTCAGTGACCTAAGTTCATCTGCGGATCTCCTCATTCCTGATTCGATCACGCCGAGAAACTCTGAGCATTGCTAGGTCCATTGCGCTTTGGGTGACTTTGAGCCATCTTTTAAGGCCCATCGTGAGCGACAGCGACACGAATAATAGCGAGACCCTATGGTGATCCATAGGGTCTTGCTATTATTCGTGTTCTCCACTCGTGTTAAAGAATCACTTTCTCATCCATGTTATTAATTAGGATTTCATAGAAATCGAACAGTCGTGCATCGTCTTAACTGCGATCAAAATTTTAAGTAAAATCTCAAACTTCAAATGTCTTTAAAGTTTTGATAGTTAGATACCTACCAACTTTATTTGGGGAACCGGTCGTGTTGCATCTGCAGCTGTAAATAAGTATCTCCTTTATTTCGATGTTCTACTGATATGTCATAAACATGCCCGATTCAGTTCCACGACAACGATTCATAATCCATATAATAATGTAAATTAATATTTATCCAATAAAAAAAGTAATAAATATTCACCTGTACAATAATTTTAGACGCCTACTTAATATTCATACATTCAAATATTATCGTAATACAGCTATACTTGAAGATTTGGCATATTGATTGTGAACGATTAGTTATTTATAGATTTTTCGCTCAAAGCGAATACTCAAGTCAGTTGGCGATTGCTTGGTATAATCGATGTTACTCAAGTGTAAGTTTGAGTTATGACTTAATTAAGCCTGGTTCGAACGAGTTCGCAATTATACCTCGCCGCTGACGAGTTAAGAAAGGTACGAATACTAATAATGATTTAAACAAATTAGGATTTACTTTATCACACCCTTTGTACGTTTTGGAAAACTTGTCTTAGCTTATTGATGATGATGAAATTTTCAGTAATATCTATGTCAAATATAATGTTTAGAATAACTTGCATTGTAATTAAACGAAGAAGTAAATGCTAGCTGTCAATAATTCATTTCCATCAGCTCTAAGGTCCTATGGTCATAAGATAACGTTTGAGAATCAGTAGTTATGGATCCCGTAATGCTTTATACACTAGGGGTTTATAAACACATATATCACTATCCCTATGTTTATGAGTTCCTTAAGATGTTACCCTATACCCACTTTCTGTTATACAGAATGTTCAGAAAGTTTTGTGCATTATGTGTTACCGAGATATAGTAGATTTAGCTAAAAAAAGATGAATTTTGAAATAATATCTTAAAGAATTTTAGTTTGTATTATACATTAAATTTTTTTAGTCAAATCAAACTAAATGTATCAAACTAAGGAAGTTTTCAGTAATGTATTATAATTATAATTATAAGTATTTCACATTACTGAAAGCTTCCTTAAAAGCTTCCGTATCACTGTATAACTTTCATCTTTATTTGTTTCAAACAAATATAAATCTTATTTCTATAGGAACAATAGAAAATACTCGTAGAGTTAATCCGTAAGTGTGGTCTGGCCAATCGCAGTGATGATAAATCTTCACGTGTTCTCACGGAAGGGATGCTTGTTATTAAGACGTCAATAAGAATTATAGTTCACCACTGGTCTATAATTTCACGTTGCTAATGTGAAATTCACGTGCCAACTATTCAGCGCCTAAAAAAAATCTGGCTTGCACACTGCTGCAATGATCATAAATGTGTGGTATTGCAGATGTGACCTAAAAATACAGCCGAAAGAAACTTACTATGCTATGTAGAATGCAATCGTTGTTTATGAGGTATCCGTGTCAGATTAGTAAATAAGATAGTTTTAAACTGAACAAGTTTAGATCCTAAAATAGGCTGGTGAACATGATGAGAAGAATCATCAAGAATATATTTTTTGTGGTTTTTAATTATGTTTGTAGTCTGTCTATTGATAACAATGAGTAGTTTACATTCTACTGGTTTGAAAATGTGTAGAGCTTCAGAACATTTTCTTCTGAAATATACTGACTATGTATTTCTCAAATTCTCTTAGATATCAAACTTTCTCCTTCAAGTTCACGACTCTGTTCACTATTAATCAGATTTTAATCAGAGTTGCTCAGTTTATTAAATAATGTTATTCTTCGATCTATCTATAATATTTATATGAATAGAATAATCTCCTGATATATACTTGGTGTAGTAGGCTAAAAAGGCTCCTTTCTAAGGAGAGGCCTATGTTCAGCAGTGGACTAGTGAAGGCTGTTGATGATGATGATGATACTATATACTTAAATAATTTAGTATCAGAACATGCTCGCTAATTACTGATTCTAAAAGGGTTTTCCTTCTAAAGCTTACCATAGCTCATACAATGTTATAAAATCTTTCCAAAACTGATAATTGACACAATGCTAATTTCGGCGAAGTCAAGTACTAAATACATGAGTATAATATACACAATAGGGTGCTAATTACAATAACGGTCTTTTAAATTGAGATAAAATTATCTGTATTGGTTTATCTTTCAAACGTTATCTCGCCTTCCATCAAGGTGTCAGCGTCTCTTGGCATTAGGCACTTAAAAACGAAACTGTCGAATATTGTATAATTAATGAACCTTCAAGTATAATACACTTTCGCCTTCGTACAAACAATTAAACAGTGCGTCGACAATTCGGCTCCATACGTGACAACGAGGCGTGTTCGTATCCAACGTGTTAACATGCGCATATATCATGGTTCGGTTTGATACACCTGCGAAGCCACGCCCACTGATCCTCGGACCCCCCAGCCCCACTCTCACCCCTGTCTTTCGCTTCACCATCATCAAGATACCATTCCACGGTGAGACGTCATCTGAGACGGACGTAACTTTGATTGAATATTATTTAAATTCATGTTTTATGTTATTACGTACAGTGTTTATGAACGAAGTGCTCTGTGAATAACTTGGGTGTTTCCGATTCCTGTAATTATCTCGTTAGCGTTGAAAAGTTTAGTCGACACAATCGTAAGTTTTTTTCAAACTATTTTTATCAACACATTGTTTTTTCTAACTTAACTTTTTGTATCTTTGCCGTAACTTACATAATTGTTTTTGAAAGATCGTGTAAGTTATCTGTTAAGGCAGCAAGATAATGCAAGTTGGTTTAAAAAAAGTTCTATCCGATATGATAACAGAAACAAGTTGTTTAGGCATTTTAATTACATAGATAAGAGAACATAACATTACAGATAAGGTTTTACTATGTGCCTAAGTTTAAAAAGTTACAGTTAGTATAAAGTTTTCTCACTTGTTGCTCTTATGGGGCGGAGTCTTGTACATTTACACGCACGCGCAAGCTGCCTTTTTTGATATTGAGGAAAACTTTTCCTAAATAATCATTATCAGACCCTATGCATTTTGAAAACATTGTTTATATATGTTTAACTATTTAATTAAGCAGAATAAAAAAAAATCAATCCTGCTATTTAGAGATATGTGTGTATGTGCCTTTTCTTACGAAGTACTTTTAAGTTGCATGAAGACAATCATTACGTGCATAATACGGCGTGATGTCCCAAAAGATATGTGTGGAAACTATGGCGGGCACACCGTTGGAATACATCATTGTCTCGTTATACAATAACACAGTCCAAAACGCAAACACATTCTCAGAAACATTAGAAAACATGTAAATGCTAACAAAAATATTTCGGAAGCAGACTGACTAAAATTTGTATAATGAGTTTCCTTCTCGATGTCTAATAAAAATAAATTAATCGATTCGTATGACTACTAAATTGGAATTGGTTGCCATAATTCGTTTATTATGATTAAATGTCATTTAAATCTAAATTTCCTACGTGTGTTATTTATTTTATTTATTTCGAATATATTTATGATAATTATCTAAAATACCATGAATGCCATAGATTGTTGGTTGCAAAATTTTTGTTTAAAGGGAACATGTCGAATCTGTTAGAAAACCATTACATAAGCAAGTAAAGTTACAAACTACGATTTTTGACAAACGAACATACATATGTAAACATACAATCAGTTTTACATATTATATAATTAACTTTTAAAATAAGACCGACATTAATATGCCATGATGAATGATGATGAATTGTAATAAAGTATTCTAAATTACTTAATTTTCCATCCCTTTGAATTACAGTATACGTTTGGTAAAGTATACCGTTAAAAAAGTATTTTTCAAATCGGTTCTTAAATGTCGGAGTTCTGAGGTAACAAAAAAATAAAAAGAACCGCATTAAGAATTTCCTCCTCTTCTGATGTTAGTTGAATGGTGAAAGTCTAAGAGTCATTTTTGAATGGTATACCTTTAAGTTATAGAATCAGTAAATTTTACCATATAAACCACAGAAAAATCCAATTATTTCATTCAACATATATGCACCTTCTAAAATGTAATCACACTGACATATTGAATTCCATGGTGATTTTCGACACAGACATGCTAAGTCGCTGCTGTTATCATGGGGCTACGATCTGAGTCTTCTACTGGCTGGGACGGTATTTCACCTACAATACGCAAATCAAACCGTGGATCCCTCGTCCCTATCATTACTCATAGCTTTAACATCGTTCTCCGTTAAGGTGTGTTTCTAAATGCGTTCAAAAAGGCTCTAGTACATCCCGTTTACAAAAAGGGAGACCGGAACTCCATTGAAAACTACAAACCTATATCTGTTTTGCCCACTATGTCCAAAAAATTATAAATAAACAGACTTTTCAATTTTCTAAACACTAATCGTATTATATCCAACTACCAATATGGTTCCGATCTAGTATTTCGACGGAATATGCTGTCGCGAATCTGGCTGAACATAATGATTGATTCACCCCAAAATGAGGTTTACATATGAAATGGAGACGGACAGGTCGTTGTCCTTCTTAGATGTTAAAGTAGCCGTGAGATCGGATGGGTCCTTGTCACACTGTGTGTACCGTAAACCTACTCATACGGACAGATACCTACACGCCACGTCTCATCATCACCCCCGGCACTTGCAATCTGTTATGACTTCACTCAAAAACAGAGCTTACGATCTCTGTGACCCTGAACATTTAGAACAGGAGCTAAAACATGTTCAGGAGGTACTCAAAGGTAACGGATATCAAGTGAAAGGAGGACGGAAGCAACCGAAAATAAGACGCAAGTATCCAGAAGTGAACAGGCAACCGGCCTATATGCCTTATGTCAAGGGAGTTACGGACAAGATCGGGTCTGTACTAAAGAAATATTCCATTCCGACAGTATACACACCAGGCATAAAGGTTCACAACATCGTCGGCACACCGAAGGATACATTGCCACTACAAACTCCGGGTGTTTATAAAATAGACTGCAGCTGCGGAAGCTCATACATAGGCCAAACTAAGCGGACTATTGCAGAAAGGGTCAAAGAGCATATCGCTGCTGTGAAGAACCGACAGACGAGCAAATCAGCGATTGCAGAACATGCACTCGATGCAGGCATCAACCACTGGATTGAATTTCACCGCACGCAAGTCCTCTCCACCGAACGTCACTTTTACTCAAGAGTTGTACGTGAAGCGATTGAGATTAAAAAGCATAAAACTTTCAATCGGGAAGATGGTTTTAAATTATCTACAGCGTGGAATCCAGTGTTAAAAAACATACCACCTCGCTTTTCTGCGCAATCGGTTAAACACCAGAATAGGGACTCATCGGTTTGCTTACAGAATAGGGACACTGTTAGTGTGGTATGTGACGGTACATGGCGACACAAAAATAATATCGAAAATGTGCGGGTAGATGAAGAGCCTTCTACTTCACGGATTCGACGACGGAGGGCGTGCGCCGATGAGCCAGTCAGCCTGTGACCACGGCCGGTGCAACCTGGTCGAAACGTCAGGCAAACCAGAGGTATGTAATACCCTAAATAAGAGATCGCGTTAATTCCCGTTAAATAATATTAATTATCATGGAACGCGAAAGTTTAAAAGTTAGTATCTGGCTGAACATATCTCCAAAAAAATAGACCAAGGACAGAATCATGTTATTTCAAAAAATTGTAACAGTAAAGTAGTCCATCAAGCCCAAAATTGACAACATTGACAATAGTGGCCCTAGCAGAAAACTGACGTCCAAAACAAAAACTTTCAACAAAAAGGTTCAAAACTTATGTATCTACAAGAAAATTGGAATTTTAATGAAATGTACTTCTGCAATTATTTCTTGCGAAATAAATGATTTATTTATTATTATTATGTATGTTTAGAGATTTGATTTTAAAGCCTACGCGAAGAGTCTGCTGATGTTGGGTTTTACAAAGGTAACACTATGGTCTGACAGGGGAAAACTTAAAATGTCAATTACCACTTATAGAAGTTGACAGTATTCGAACAAAATATTGTAAAATAAAATCATAGTAAATTTGAACAGTCCGTTCTCAACTATTGTTATGTAACAGTGTTGCGAGAAGTCATATATCCATTTCCAACCACATATGGCAAGAGAAGATAGAGATAAATAAATTGAAATCTAATTTAGTAGTGATGGATTTGCAAGAACTTCTAGCATAAACACATAAACTCATAACTTTAAAATAAGTCACACATTACATTGTATTACCATTGTTGGTGTTGCTTTTGCATCTTACAGTAATGCTTTGATTCGGTAGAAAACTTTATTAAGGGATTCTTAAATTAATTATATTGAAATAAGAAGTAAAAAAATAGTCAACATAAAAACTTATTATTCTTATGAAATAACACCATTTCGTATTTACTGTAATTATAATGAGGTCAAGATCTAATGATGGGATCCTGGACGATTTACGGAATTCTTTAAAAATTTTAACCACACCTGTGGCGATGTGCTTGCTGTATGAGGTGAAATTGATGATCTCTATCATCAGGTCACAGATGGCCATCGGAGCTACTCAATAATAGTATAGCACTGTCCGTGTGATGACGGATTAAGAATACGAAGTGTCACCACCACTATTCATCCCATGGGTATCGTAAGAGCCGACTAAGGCATCTTTGTCTAATGTTGTTGTATGTCTGTATGTAAATTAAGTAAGTGTTAACTATATTACAAAATAAGATATATTCTATCAAATAGTTTGATATATCAGTAGTAGCTAGAGTTGGTCTCCAGTTTTTGCTTATTGAGTTGCTTTTTAATTCTTGTTGTTGTAATTAACTAGAAATGTAGTCTATGATACCAAAAAACTAAATGACATAATGTGTTGGTAATATTATGACATTAGATCGTACAGAAATCTAATTACGGTTGCTATCCAATTCAGTATGTGATTGAGTTCTGACAATGAAAACAAGTAGAAATTATAATTATATTATCTAAAGCCTCACAATGAAAGACCTAGGCCTAGACTTAGGAGGGCTCGTAGCCCTCCTAAGTCTAGGTATGTATTTGTATGATTTTAGTTTTCTGAGAAATGCTTTCTTTCAATCGTTTTAATTTTACCGAACGCCAGCGGTGCCTGCCCGTCGGATTCTTGTATCAAAGACCGAATTATTTTGTCAATAACACATTATTTTAAAACTAGGTCCCGTCGGGCGGGTCCCCATCGCGTCTGAGACTAATCAATCTTGCCCGAAATACAGACGTGAGTAAAACTAACACTCAAACGACTGCACCAATTTAAAATTTAGTATGAAGGTAGCTGACACCCTGGATTAACACATAGGCAACTTGGGCTTTCAGCATGAGCAAGAAATTGAAATATATTTGAAAAACCGTCGGTAATACCGCAGGGCACAGTTAATCTTTAATAAATATAAATGATTTAAAATCGAAAAATATATTTGATATTAATAATATTACCTAAATGACAGAAGCACCAAAATTCTGAAGGCACTCCATGTACATGCATATACATACATATGTCAAGCGCCGCGTAGGAGTCACCGCGTGTGCAGCCTATGAGTTTTATGACCACTAATAGGCAATAATGTGCACCTCTTGACTCGGAACGCAGAGGTTAAGTTATGAGTGCGGTTTCGTC